TAGAATGTCTTTTAGAAATCTTAATCAACTTAGTAGATATATAGTGGCACACAAAGATCCGATTTCTTCTGACAAAAAGAAAAACATTGTTTACAATATTTCTTGTGACTCTTGTAATGCCGCTTATATTGGACAAACTAAAAGACAATTAAGAACTAGAGTCAAAAAACACTCTTATCATGTTAGAATGCAACATCAAACGTCGGTAATTGCAGAACATTGCCTGAACACTGGTCATAAAATTGCTTGGGATTCTATACGTGTACTAGATAACGAGCGTAATTTATTTAAACGTTTGACATCTGAGATGTTACATATCAAACTTAATAACAATAGTATTAACATTATGCAAGATACTGAGCTTCTGGACAAAGTCTATTTACCTTTACTCGAGAAAATTAAATAAATTGCATTTATTTTCACCCATAGATGGAGCTACAAGCTCCACTATACATTATTTGTAACTTCTTTAGTATTGATAATGCTTTCATAACTGTCACATCTCATTGTCATTCTCTTTTCCTGGTAGGACTATAAGGTATTTTTATTTTTTAATTTTAATTGTCTTTTTCTTATTGTTACTTTTATCTCACATTACCCGTTGTATTGTCATATTATTTTTGTTAATTATTGGATGTACCACTGATGATGACTGTAAAAATAAAAGTCGAAACGTTTGGGACATTTTATTAAAACATAAACTTTTTATTTGCATTACACTCTGCATTTTTGGTTGTCATTGCTGGATTTTTATACATTATTTTTTCATAAATAAATTTTTTCCCGACCTTATGGACATTTTCTTCACGTTGTAAGCGTGTAGGCAGGGAGGCTACGCCCCTCTCCTGCACCCCCTGAGCTTATCATGTTTTGCGTACATATTACTTTCTGTTTATGATGTTTTATTTTTGAATATTACATATATATAACCTTGCATAAAATAATTCTTTATTTTTTTTCGAGGGGGGAGCAGGGGAAGGGGCGTAGCCCCTCTTGTCTATACACTTACAACATGAAGAAAATATACATAATGTCGAAAAAAAATTCATTTATGAAACTTTTTTTGTCTACAACTTTTTTATAAACAACGAGCGACGGCTAAAAGTTTTTGCATGTTACTCAGGACAATATCCTTGACAACATATGTGAAGCTCAAGTTGATTGGAAGGTGATCCGTTATTGTCAATATTTACTTTTCTTGCTTTATATTTATATTTTTTTGTAGGTAAAACAAGATAACAACAACTATCTTTAATGTGATATAATGTTACTTTTGAAATTCTAAAATATTATATATGCTAATATGCTAATATGTTAGTATTAATTTATTAATTAATTTACTTACTCGCGCATATTTATCGTCAAAATGCTCTTTTGCATGTTATTATGACTTATATATACATATGTGTATATACATATATATATACGAGGTGTGATCAAAAAGTAAGGTGACTCTTTGAATTTCGCGCGCTCTGTACACTCTAATTTCAAAATTTTTGTTGTTGTGTTGGTACACTCGTCACGATCATGTTCACAGTTTTGACTATATAGTATGTGTTGTTTTTATGTGAGAGGCATAAAAAGGTTAGACTCGTGTTTGCGTGCTCGGCGATATTTTGCTGTTGAAAATAATGGAGCAGAGAGTTTGTATTAATTTTTGTGTAAAAAATGGTATTAAGTGTTCAAAAACTCTTGAAATGTTGACAGTGGCATACGGTAAGTCAACTTTGAGCAAAAAAAATGTTTATAAATGGTATAAGTTATTCCAAGAGGGCTGAGAAAATGTTAACGATGAACCTCGCTCTGGACGTCCCAGCACGTCAAAAATCGACGAAAATGTTCAGAAAGTGAAAGAAATTGTGTTGAAAAATCGTCGAATCACGATTAGAGAAGTAGCTGATGATCTTAACATATCGTTTGGCTCATGCCAATCAATTTTAACGGATGTTTTGTGTATGACACGTGTGTCAGCAAAATTCGTTCCAAAACTGCTTAATTTTGATTAAGCAGTTAGTTTTGTTTTTTGGCCACAAACAATACTACCATCATGCCTCAGTCACCGTATTCACCAGACTTGGCCTCCTGCGACTTTTTCCTCTTCCCAAAATTGAAAAGGCTCATGAAAGGACGAAGATTTGCGACGATTGAGGAGATTAAGGCTGCATCGCTGGAGGAGCTCAAGGCAATACCCAAAAGTGCATTTCAGAAGTGTTTTGACGACTGGAAAAAGCGCTGGCACAAGTGCACTGTATCAGAGGGGGATTATTTTGAATGGGATAACATAATTTTGGATAAATAAATGAATATTTTTTTATAAAAATGAAAAGTCACCTTATTTTTTGATCACACTTCGTATATGTATACGATCCAAGCACGCTAAGTTTTTGTACTTTACTTTTGTTTTAAGCACGTTTTATGGGATCTACAGTCTTGGGTTCAGTACTTGGCTAATTTTGTTGATTGTCTGTGTTTTTTCCTTATACAGAAAAAAGATTTATGTAATAAATAGTCGTATATTGGAATAGTTTTTATGTACTTGGCGTATATTTTTTCTTTTGTAAAGACTTTTTTTATAGTGATTTCACTACTTTTTTAGAATGCAATAATAAAAGTATATGTACATTTTATTTCATTGTTTCTGCGGAAAATATATATGGATTTTTAGCACTTCTAGACTAATTGCACTTTTGTATCTTTGTATTATGTATTGTTATCCAGTCTATGTTTTTAGTACCAACTATATTTGTATAACATCCAATATTCAAATTTTCCCCATGATGAAAAATTGCACCAATAACTTTATATGTATTGTTACCAAGATGTATCTTTGTAGTAAATACACCTTTAATATTGCAATTGATTTTTGTAGTTTAAGTATTAATAGAGTTGTAAATATTAATAATTGTAAAATGAGGATATGACTTGTTACTGTTACATTATTTTTTCTAACTATTGATACAGTATTACAAGTATTACATTACTTTTTCGACATTATTTCAACATGAAAAATTTAATTGAATGAGTTCTTGAAAAGTTTTTTTATAGTTTCGGAAATTTGTAGTAAAAGAACAGAATTACTATGTGTTTCCATAGTCATGTAACTGCATATTTTACATCGCAAAGTTGTAGTTAATTGATAATTGATATTCAATAATAGTTTTTACACTTTGTATGTTATCACTAAACTGTATAAGAAATTTCCTAGCATCTTGTTGAACAGTTTGAAAATATTTCTCATCTGTCAGTCTACGCACTTCACTTACATTTTTAAATTTGTCATTAAAGATATAGCTGTCCACTTTTCTCACATCATTTGTCCGTTCTAGATATAATAACGTTTTTTTAATAATAGTTTAATAGACACTAAATAGAAGCGTTAACATAACATAATACAAAAAAAAAAAAAACAAAATTAACAATTATTTATTCACAATATATGCAAATGCCAATATATGAACGCGCTGAATATGTGACTCGAATGCTTGTGCGAGCACGAGCGCGGCTGTGAACGCGGCTTGTGTAACGCTCGCGTTTTGTGTGTGTGTGTGCGCAGTTTTGTGTATGTGAGACTGAATTTTAAGAATTTTCGTGACATATTCTTGCATTTTGAGGTGTAATAGTTTAGATCTCTGGATTGACTGAACCAATTTAATTTGCACTTCTCGCAATTGAAAACTCGTAATGACATTTATTAAGACATGTAAGGTTAAATTTTTCATTAGTGTTATAATTTACAAAATATTGTATCAAAATATCATTGAGAAAAAACTCGGGATAAAGTACACGGTAGCGTCTTGACAGTGACACTCATTTGGATACTTTTACGTACTTAGCGTCGAGACGCTACCGCGTTTCTTGATATCTTGATGTTTAAAAACACACACACATACATATTATATACATATATATTTAACAAAAAAATACTTAGTGCTAATACTTAACATTAGTGTTTTGGAAAGCTCTCGAGATAAGCTACAAGAATATGTAATGAAAAGTTCAGGGTTCTATTTAAGAAATTGATGGTGACTTTTACGTGACCTTGACAAGATAGTTGTCATGCAGTTAAAACTCGCTGTTGTTGTGCGCATCCCTTCCACCGCTTCAGCAAGCTGTAAGAGAGCCAAAACTGTGAACACTGATCAGATTGCTTTTGAAACCCTGATGAAGTGAGCTGAAATGTTCACGAAATGTCAGTGTAAAAATGACACTAACGCGGGTCAAACCCGAAATACATCTTCGAATATATTTCAACATCATATATTTCCAGAATTATTACGGTTGATTGTTCAATTTTTAATATTGCATTATGATTATGTACTAAAAGAAAGAAGGAACAGTTCATGAGCATGTCTTTAATTTAGGACAAATTTTGGGACGCATCGTGGGGTAAAGAGTTAAAATGTAGGATTGTCTTTCCTAATTTGGGACGGTTGGTCACCTTAATATATAGATTACACGTCAGGATTAAGCTGTCTTCAACATATATCTTTATATCTATCTTGATATCTCTTTTTTACGTTGCGCTGTGCTATATGTCACGGTAATCTAAAAAAATAAATAAAAATAACCATTACCACCACATGATAAAGTAATCAAGCAAAAAAGAAACACAGAGAGATTACCGTTTCAATCAATCATATCAATTTTCAATTGCAAATATTCTATGTAGTCTCATTATTATGCTTAACTTCGTTCTCAATTCTAACATTTGCCGACGTAAGTTCGTGTGTGTATTTCCGCGTTATCCTGATTTCGCGAATGCTCGTACATTCAAAGCTCTGTAATTATATGATTTCTCTCGGTAAATCAATTTTGCGCTCGAGACCTCCTTGGGAGTCGAAGCGCAACATGGCAGACAGTACGGTTAATTTGCTCGCTAGACCATAGTAGTTGAATGAATTAAAATAGAGATCCGGCTTTGGATGCGCGCGCGCGTTGACGTAACAACTCTAAAATTAAATGCGAACTAATGCGATGGTGCGTGTTTTTGTCTTTTGTAGAGGCCAGGACGGTGTTTTGTCGTAAAGGGTTGGGACCTCCAGGATGCCAGGAGTGTGGAAGTTGCTGCACATGCTGATTTACATGATGGTGAGTATAGTACAGCATCAATTTTCAAAGATTTACATAGAATGCGAATAAATATGTCATTCATGCACTATTGTAAACGTTGACGAAATCAATTTATAAAATTAAAAAAAAAAAGAATTGTACAATAAAAACCACAGCTTTAAAATGGTGCCACTTTCTGCGAAAAAGTACATGATGTAATTTATTATCTAGCGTCATGTTCCAATTCTTAAGAAGCGCATTAGAAATTAATGTATCATTTAACATATTTTAATCATCAAAAGAGCGCTCATCTGATGCAATTTACTATTTCTACACACGACGTATTATTCAGATGGAAGTAATGTCAAATAATTACGCAGCGATGCTTCAATTTGAAATATTACCTCGTTCGTTCTCAGTTAGAAAAATTAATCAGCGAAAACTTATATCGATGGTCGGATATAAGATAAAACGTTAGATCTCTTGGCTCTTAATAACACTTTTTAATAACGCCGCAACAAGCCGAGCGAATAAGCGGCTGTTACAAGAGAGACGAGAGCGCACGAATCACAATGTATTGACTAGCGGCGACAGCGGTTCTATAAGAAACTCACACGGGACTCGTGACTCGGCGTATTTATCCCGCGAAGTCTTCTAGCGGTTTTCTTTTGTCGGTCAATTAAGCCTTAGAGCCGTGCACTAACACCGTGCGCCGATCGGTCGAGTACTACCTCAGGCCGCGTCAATTTCGATAATGGACTATAATTTTAAGTGTGTTTGACCAATAGCGTGATACGCCGCGCCGCGCCACCGTGGATACTATAATTAATGAATAACGGTCTCACGCTGACCAGATATATCTCAATATAGTCGTTTGCATAATAGTCATTTGACCTCCTAATAATTCAGGATATACCGTTTCGCGAGCACGCAAACGGGCAGAGGTTGCAACACATAAAGTTAAAAAAAAAAGGAAAAACAAGAAAAAAAATCCTGATAATCCTTAGGGCGCGGTTTGCGGTGGCAGCAAAATTCTCACGTTTGGAATTCGTGTTTTCATTTAGATGACAATGCGATGACACGGCGGAAGTCATCGCCGTGACAGCTTGCAAGCGGATATTCATGACTACTCTAGGTACCGTTATTAGCGTCTTGAGACCTTCTTTAACGTTTCTCTCTTTCTCTCTTTCTTTCTCTCATCCATGCCTCTTTGCTTGATCCCGTTTTCTTGGTGTTTTTTCTCATATTATTCAAAATCTCGTACGAAATTTATCGTGTCGGGACGTTACCGTGTTGCTATAGAAAGATCTATATCCTATGCGGTCTTTCTGCTCGCAAAACAGACTACGCGTTTCGCGCTCATAAACAGCCGGCAAATCATTACGCGTCAGCTAAACTGCTGATTTCTTACGACGTTTTTCGGAAAAACGAGTTTAATTAGAAAAGAACTACAGACTACAATTTAAACCAATCAAATCAATCGGTCAAATCGAGTGTGACAAACGTTTGCGTAACAAACTTGATGCTTTGATAAATAATCAAGTATTCAAAATTTTTATGTTAAAATAAAGCATAAAAATATATATGTATAAATATATATGTGTATATAAAATTTAATGCGGAATCCGTCGATGATTACATAATTGTAATAAGAATTCTTGAAAAGACACATAGGGGAAAAGTGGCATGCAAGAGCCAGGTTTTGAAAGAGCCATTTTCAATTATTCGGCAGTTTCTGAACGAATTTCACGGAAGTTTTAATTTTTATATAGCAACACTAGACGTATGTCATCCACAAACATTTGACAGATTATTAAAAATAAAAAGCGCCGGTGCATCGTATTAAAGATTTTGTAATTGAAAAGTAAATTTTTGGGTTTTATTTCTTTGTTTTTTAACATTTTTGTGTAAAGAAATAATACAAAAATTATTATATCACGATTTTATATATATATTTAGTCTCCTAAGTATGTAAATATTTCTCATTCATAGCGTTAATTTGATAATGTATTTTGAGATTATAATTTTTAAAAGGGAAAGTTTTGAAAGAGCAAGACTATAGTGTAATGAAAGAGCCGGCTACCAAACAATCAAAAAATTTTTTTAATAAAACACCTAGCTCTGACAGTAAATGTAACGATGATTTGTCTTCAGATTCTGATAAAATATCAAAAATAAAAAAAAAAGAAACTAGAAAAAAAAAAAAATAATAATTGTATAGTGTGCACTAAACGTTATAAAAAGAGTAAGCAAATATGGTTTCAGTGTAAACTTTATTCTGATTGGACATACAGAAAATGTAGGATAAAAGAGGTGCTAAATTATTTTTGTCAAAATTGCTTCTAAAGATATCTAAAAGATTAAGTTTTTTTTCTCAATTGTAACTTTAAAAATTGTTTTGAAAGTTTGAGTAATAAAGTAAGAGTTACTTAGATTTAGATAAAAAATATATAAATTTTCATTGATGGTTTGTTAATTTTGAAGAGATTGTTATAAAACTAGTTTTAGCATTTTGATTAACAATTGTTTGCTAACAATTATATTAATGTTTTGTTAACAATTGTATTAATGTCTGTTAATAGTTTGTTTATTATTTTGTTTATAAACAGTTAAAGATTCTTGTTATAAGGAGTCGGCTCTTTCATAACATTCGATGGCTCTTTCAATATCATTATGTTATGAAAGAGCCGAATTTTACTTTTCTTTTAAGTGAAAATATGTTTAAGCTTTAGATTTTGCCTTTTTGTTTATTATATAATACAAAGGAATAAGTAAACTACAAATTGAAACAGTAAGCGTTATATTTGATTACTTTTTAAATAGGGTTTTTAGCTCCATACTAAAACTGGCTCTTTCATGCCACTCTTCCTGTAATAATTTGTTAAGGAAGGTCAGTAAAATTAGCCGTAAGCCTTTTCTACTTGCGCCGACCCCGATTCTCATGTCTTGCGATCGGCACATACAAAACACACGGCTATCGCAAGGCGGTTATTTCCGCGTGTCACGAGAAATACAATCGGCTACCCGCAGATGAGCATTTGTATTCGAATGTGCACTACCGATGCTTATAGAGGGAAAATCACTGTCTGTATGCCTCATGTTTGAATAACTCTGCGGCGAATATACTGATACGCGCGCGCGCAGGTCATATAATCGAGTCCTGAGAAATCATAAACTACACATCTTCCTTTTCTTCTACCGATGACACATGCATGAATATTATTAGCTTTTTCATGCGCGTTCGAAGAGAAACAGAAACTCGTTCTGATAATGACTTAATAAAACCGCTGTTTGTTTTAAGTTAGTTTAACGATAAATTATCGGTACTAGAGCACGAAAAGATCGAAGTCTCCACACACTTCGTAGAAATATAATGAACTCTCGCGCAAGTCATCTTAAGTCGACGAGAATATTACATATATATAACATCGATACGCGCATGTACTACACAGTCGCTGTTATTGCAGCGTTACGCAAAAAAGATACGCGTTACGCGCCCGTCAGGTGCGTAATCATTTCTAATGAAACGTTGTCATTTAACAGTGCAATTGTAAAAGCATAGAAACATGTTTTCACTTGCGCGAAAAACGGCGACCGTTAATGCAGCGGTAAAGACGCTTCTCCCGTTACGGCGCGTTGCGCGAGAGCGGAATACGTAGAGAATACGCTACGCCTGGCTTCAATGACGATACTACGCTCGCTCGAGTATAGCGCGGGACTTTCTGCGGATAACTTGTAACATACCTTGTTTCTTAAAAATGTTTGAAACAGACTAGATGACCTTCATTAACAGTTTGATACAGAAAAAGAGAAAAAACACAAAACGTTATCGAAGATAAGAAATGCGATGTTTGTACCGTGATTACCTTACATGTATGCTGTCACATTAGTGGCGATGTGAGAAAGCCACATGTAAGATTGTCAATATCCGATTGAGTATAAGAAATATTTATGACTAAATCGTATGGATTATTGCTAGATGTAATGGCCAGGTGCGCGAAAACACGAGTATTTAAGTTTTTATTTACGGTCCCATCTTCGTGCGGAGTATACTCTTAAACGCATTGCAAAAACAAGCTTGTTGCGAGCACGGTAATGAACTTAGTTTATAGTTAATGATAACCGACGTTAAGATTAGAGACAAATGTTTTAATTAAACTAACTTGACTTCTTATATCTGAGGGATACTTTTGTACTTTGATACTGTGCTAAAATTCATCAATAGATTCACTACAAATCTTATTCACAACGTAATTGTTTTTCTCTTACACATAGCCACGAGTAAACAAATAAAATAAATCTTAGAGAAATGTTATTACATGTATATTTGTATATGTAAATTTAGATAACGATATTCTCTTTGATACAATTATATTCAACTAATACAAATTTTATTACATAAAGTTTTACAAATGATAGTTTCTTTAATGGCTTGCAGTGCTATATAATATTATCCGCTGACCTACAACAATCGTGACTCACTCGGTTTTAGAATTGGGCACTTTTGCCGACTTTTATAACAATCCCGGTGTATATATTCCGGCCGAATGATCTTCCTGTAAACTTTGTAAAAAAGAAGAATATCCTTGTATCGTAAAAATATATTGACAACCGTTTAACGTAACGTCAAAGCCGCGATCTATGTAATACGCGTGTGTCGGACAATGAAACACACACACAGAAAAGATATAGCGGACAACAAAGAAGGAAAAAAACGAAGAGAGAGAGAGCAAAAATTGCGGAGAAAGAAGTGCATTCTTGAAATGCGCAGGTGGCTGGCTTGAAGAGCGTCAATAGCAACAGCGACATTTGGCCGCTGGAAAGACCAGAGGGTATGCCGGCCATCCAGTCTTTGGAAGTGATGTGCGGTAAGGATCATATGGACGTTCATCTTTCGTTCTCGCAACCTTTCGAAGGGATCGTCTCGTCCAAAGGCCAGCACGCGGACCCACGATGCGTCTATGTTCCGCCGTCTACGGGACAAACATTCTTCTCCTTTCGAATAGCTTACGCGAGGTGAGTCATTGATCAATACTCGCGCTTATTATTATATCAGTCGCATACTTATTTCATGTTTTGATTTTATATTATTAAATAAAAAAATTAAAACTTAGATTTTTCTTATTGTCTGATGACTTTTTTGTGTATTTTAGATGCGGCACAAAGCCAGATATGCACGGACAGTTTTATGAAAACACTGTAGTGGTGCAGTACGATAAAGACCTGCTTGAAGTTTGGGACGAGGCTAAGCGTTTACGATGCGAATGGTTTAACGATTACGAGAAGACTGCGTCGAAACCGCCGATGGTTATTGCGGATCTCGATGTAATACAGCTGGACTTTAGAGGTACGAGTATTTTACGATTGTTTATCTTATCAAGCGCCATTTTTTAATGGAGATAAATCATCGACATAGATTATACCGAAGCTCTCATGATACCATCGAGACTACCGCACGATATCGCGTCGCACACAAAGAAGTCTTCTCTTCAATCGTCATTTGTATGCCTGTAAACTGTAAACAATCTCAACCGCAGACGGTCTCGTGCTCTCGTTTTCTCTCTCTCTCTCTCTCTCTCTCTCTCTCTCTTTCTCTCTCTCTCTCTCTCTTTCTTTCTCTTTCTCTCTCTCTCTCTTTCTTTCTCTTTCTCTCTCTCTCTCTCTCTCTTTCTCTCTCTCTCTCTTTCTCTCTCTCTCTTTCTTTCTCTCTCTCTCTTTCTTTCTCTTTCTTTCTTTCTCTCTCTGAGGTTTTTGTACGTTACAGTCTCTATAAAATGCAGCGGTTCGTTATATAAAGTTATTTTTATCAAGACAAAGAACGTGCGGACATTTTACTTTAAATGTCGCAAGTAACGTTAGTATTGTGAGGAATAGACGACGCGATGCAAAACGTGCGCGCAAATGAATGACGAGACACACGCTGTAACTCGAGCATCCGTTCGCGGTTGACCGCAGGTAGAACCATAATCACGTTGGTTAATTTTGGTTTACACAACATATACAAATTACTCGGTATTACCACCTGTGACAAAGCCTTTGTATGTACACAAGGTTTATGCGGCTCTTGTATACCATGTCGAAGACGCGGAAATAATTACGTCATCAAACGAACATTCCTTGAATCAATCGTGCTTTTTTTATTCGAAACTAATCGATTCTTACAAACAAACTGTGTGATATTTATTTCAAAAGCTATACTTTTATAGCGAGAGCAACGTACTTTAATCGCCCTGTTTCCAGGCGATAATGTGGACTGTTGGATGGAAATTCAGCACGGTAAGGGTCCATGGGCGCCACCCGTCTCTGGAATCGTACCGCTCGGCTCTACTCTAACTTTGGTCGTCGCCATAAATGATTACCGAGGTAACGAGTTTCTAAAGTATATCGAAGTTTTGCGAACAAACGTTTTAACGTATAGGCGTAATTTTTTGTTAAACTGAGCGCAGGTGAATTTGACATGCGGGTCAAGTCCTGTGTAGCTTCGGACGGCGGCGATCACACAATACAGCTCAGTGACGAGTCCGGCTGCGTCCTCAGGCCGAAGATGATTAGTAGATTCTTGAAAGCTCGAGGTTCGGACGACCGCGCGACTGTCATCACATACGCCTTCTTTCATGCGTTTAAATTCCCGGACGCGTTGAGCGTACATATCAAGTGCAAGGTAATGATAACTTAAATAAT